ATGGACAAACATGTGTGTAATTGCTTTAAAAAAGGAAAGGGAGTTCCTGTTCAGGACCAAGCAACAGCTGTTACATTGTAACTGGTGCATCAGCATGACCCTCTAGCAATAGAAGTTACCTAAATCACCCTGATTTTGACTCTGGATGAAGTCAAGGAGAATCATGCAGACCTAACAATTGCATTGTAACTACCTGTAATGGTATCTGGTAGTAACTCAATTGTTACGTATCTGTACCCTGATCCTGACTTGCTCTATGTCATAAAACATACAGTTTCACCTTCAAATAGCTAAAGCCAAAGTGAAATATAATATGAGACGTTTCCAAGGATCACACAGAAACTAGTCTTGTTTTGAGAATTCTAAATACAGTTAAATAGGAAAATGTTTCTGTAAATATTCATAGTTTGATGATCTCTTCATGGACTATTCATGAACAAAAATTATTCTTCAGCCATTAATCAGTCCATTTTCCTAATAAATCTTCACATCTGGCACTTTTCAAATTGTGTAACTATGCAACTATATAACTATATGCAACTATAACGCTATAACAAACTATATAACTGCATTTTTAAATTTCAATATAGCAATTATCATATCATACTATGTAGCAGTGTCAGAGGATTAGTGAAGGCAAGACATAATGTCCTGAACTTATCCACAGACTACAGTGCTCCATAAGCTCCTTATCTTTTTTCTCTTCCAGCATCTCTTTTTTAAAATATCTTTCACCAGAAGACAGGCTATGGCTCCTAGCCAGCCAGCCTGCACTTCAGCTAGACAAGTGCTGTGCTGATACGCTTAGTTCTTTGAAGTGTCATACAAGGTTGATCAGTTAGCTTTTTTCTCACTTTAATACTTTGGCTCACACAGCTCCAATCCTAAAATGTATCCCCTGCAAAGTTATAATTCAAAATGGCTTCTGCATGCTAAAACTTCAGTCGACCTCCTGCCTTTCTACTTTAAATGCTTCTGACCCCTGTGACATTTATGAGAAATACAACCAAGAGTTAGCTTTTGAAGCAATTTCTCTCTCTCCCTCTCTCTCTCTCTCATATACATAAGGCACGCATCCCACCCCAGCGACCTAAGTTCATAAATTAATAGTTGGATTGATTAATATAAAGTTTATTGCATATTGATACAACATGTTGCTTAAATAAAACTGCAAAGAGCTATTGCTCATCATTCCTTCCTTAAGTAACAACAACTTATTCTAAAATGAAGTACTGTAATGAAGCAAGAGGACTATCCTGAGAAGATTTAAAGAAAAATATTGTGCAGTCTACAAAGTCACATATCCTTAACATAACACAAATAAAAAAAGACAAGTAAAGACAAAATACAGTCTGTGTTGTTTTTGGAATGTTCTGCAGTTTCTAAGTCCACTGGATAGTTATTTCATTTAATTTCATTACCACATCTGAAACAGCACTGATAGTAAATCACAAACTGAGATAGTTTACAAAGTTGGTTGATGTAGCAATAAAGTCATTGCTTTCCCCTTTTATGAAAAAGTACACAGCTATCAATGATGCTGTTATGTGGATCCTAACTTCCTAGGAGACACTATGTGCTTATGGGATGAACTTGTTTTAATCATATGATGTTATCTGTGTCATCTTGTTTTATAACTGATTATGAGTCATTTGATTTTGGGACAGTATACTAGTACAATATCCTTAATTAAATTTTCTCTTCCTGAGAGTAACAACCACGCCTAAGGATAGATAAACCTTTACTATCCAGGTTTACCTTTCATATTCCAGACTAGAGCTGTTAATGCCTTATGACTAGTTGTTTCGCCAAGACGAAATAAAGGAGCAACGATAAAGATCCATATTTTACTCCAAAGTGACAGATACAGACAAATTCACGGCTAATTGCCACAATCCATACCTGTGTCAGCATGGGAGATTCCCACAATATAGCTTCCTTATATCATGTGTAAGATGCCCTCCTATCCCTATGTTCAGTGTTGGACACTGAGCAGTATTTGCACTCTCTTTTTTGTACAAATATTATCCTGTTGCACGCCCTGCTCAAAATGGCAGGAATTCTGTGAATGAAAGCCAGTTGTCAGGGTTACACATATTCTACTATGTGCCAGATCTCCAAGAATCAGGTGTTTATTCAGGCTGTGCAAAGCTTTGGTCCCTGATTTGATTCACAGGAGATTCGGCCTGATTTGGTGGCCAAATGTCCAAATCCAGATCAAATAAGAGGACCCTTTAATCTCTCCGAATCAAATAGGAATCATCCAAATGGATTCAGAAAGATTTGGAAAGATTTGGAGATTCGGACATAGACACAGCTTTAAATGTTTTTTCTACATGCCTCAAGGCAGCAGGCAGCTGTGAATGCTGCAATGCTGAGGGTCATTGAATGTCCCACAGTACCGCAGGGGGCTCGCCAGCACACTGGGCAGCAGACCTGGAAGCGGGCCAGAAGCACTTCTGGTCCATGTCCAGGTCTGCCGGGGAGTGTGCTGCCCCCCCACACACCCCTTCCCAGCTCAGCGACTGCTGCCTCCTGGGTCTGGGTTGGCACCTGGGGTCCCCCCACGGGCAATTGCCAAGCCAGGAGAGGTGCGGGGAGGGCCCCCCAGCACACTCCCCGGCAGACCCAGAATTGGACTGGAAGTACTTCTGGTCCACTTCCGGGCTTGCCGGTTAGCACCCCCCCCAACTCCTTTGGGATGCTCCATGCGCCCCACCATCGCAGCATTCACGAGCCATGCCTGGTACCTCAAGGTATGTAGAAAAAATCTTTAAAGCTGTGTCTATGGCTCAATTTCTACCCTTTGTATAAATGGGAAAAATAATGCTTACACCTATGGGGTCTGAAGGACTAATTAATGACTGTATATCTCTTGCCTAATATTATGCATAATTTTAAGTACATACACAAGTGCAGAGCTGGTGCCTTAAACCAGATCACAGGGAAAACTAAACAACAGGCATCCTGCAATGCAGGAAGGAGAGGGGAAATTCAAAGAAGGTAACTTAGGCATCTATTTTAGTTCAGAAGCTATCTAACTCTCAACAGGAATTGTAACAGCGCCTTCACACATTTCCTCTTACAGGCAAGAGAATATACTTACTTACTAATTTTTTTTTTCCCCTAACCCATCAATGCACATGGCTTAGGCAAATATCCACATTAATACCTGCTCAAAAATGTTATATTTACGTACAGTCATCTGAAACCTGATGGCAACCTTTGCTTCTTTCTAGAACAGTGGCTTAAAAAACAGTAGTTTGATGTTTTTTCCAGGCAACTAAATGAATGTTCCCGTCAGACCTTCCCTCTCTACCCACCTCCCACCCCCAGTTTTACATACAGATGCTCAGATCCTCTTTGCCACATTACACGATTTACAAAGTTGTTTATAATTGACAACCTGCTCCTCCTCAGCTCTCGACCATGGTGGGCTGAGGCTTCACAGTAGATCTCAAACTCTTTAGACACAAGGCGTCCCTCATTAGGCTCAAGGCACCACTTGGACAATACCAGCTCTTAGTGTTCAGGTGTTCTTCCATTACCAAAAACTGCTGTTGCAAAGAACTGAGAAGGGCTTTAAAACCATGGCTTCCTATTTGACTGCTCTGGGTTTATCTTTTCTGCACACCCAAAAGGGCTGACATTGTGTGGCACCTCACAGTACCCTGGCTGAGAATCCCTGGGGTAGGGGTAACACCAGGGTGAGCTTTCCCTCTCCCCTCCCCACCTGGCCCTGCTGGATGAAGGGAACTGTGCCCTTCCCCTCTGGCCAAGATCACAGAATCATAGAGAATGAGTGTTGGAAGGGACCTCAGGAGCCATGGTAGGTTGGCTACCAGTCTGCAGGAGGATTGATTTCTGGACCGGAAGTCCAGAAGTGACTGGCATACCGTGAACAAAAACTGAGTATAAAAAATGGTTGGGTAAAGGGTTGGCTGCCGCTCCACAGTATGCCAATCACTTCCGGACTGCAGTTTGCCGGTCCTCAGTTTGCTCGTCTGCGGTCACTTCTGGTCCACGGTTTGCCGATCCTTGATTTAATATGGTTGGGAACCCCCGATCTAGTGCAGCGTTTCTCCACCCATGGGCTGCAACCCAAAAGTGGGCCACAGGAATATATGAAAGGGTCACAAACAAACTTTAAAAAGGGATTCTCCTTTAAAGGAGAAAAACATGGGAAACCATGGCTGGCAGAGTCCAGCCTGCAAGGGGCTGCTTGGGGCCCCCCGGCCTTACAAACACCACACACTGGGGAGCTGGGGCCTGGGGGCAGCACTGGCCACCAATGTTTACACATGGGTCCTGGTACAAAAAAAGGTTGAGAACCACTGCTGTAGAGAGTCCAACCCCCTGCTCAAAGCAGGACCATCCCCAAGTAGCTCATGGCAGCCAAGGCTTTGTTTTAAAAACCTCCAAGGATGGAGAGTCCACCACCCCCCTGGGTACCCTGTTCCCGTGCTTTACTTCCCTCCTAATGGGAATGCTGCTGCTAGTCTCCAACCCACTTGACCCACCCCCCATTGCTCCTTGTTCTGTCACCTGCCACCACTGAGGGCATCAGGTCTGCCTCCCTGGGGGACCTGGCTGGGCTGTGCAAGTGCATGGCAGGACCAGCTCCCCTCCCTCCAGCTCCGCGGGGGCGAGTGCGAGTGCGAGGGCCGGGGGCGAGGAGAGGAGCCCCGCGTGTGTGGAGAGACCGAGGCTGGCTCCAGGCCAGGCGCCGGGGGAGGCGACCCCCTGCTCGCCTTTCATGTCAGGGCGTCTGCTGGCGGAGTCCCACCTCCCTGACCCTGACCGCTCCTCCTCCTGCGGGAAGGGGAACTATGAAGAGGAGCCGC